TGGAATATTGAATGAAAATCAGAAAGTTCATTAGCTAGCCTTCAGAAAGTTCATCAGTTGGCTTTTCAGTTGCTCTTCAGTTTCATCGCGGTTTGCTCTTCAATGTTGTAACCTCCCAACATTTTTCTTGTTCTCTTCATTTCCTCTTTAGTTTCAGAATCAGTCTTCAATGTCTTAATGGCCACACTCCTCATCTATGNCTTATAAATTATTGCAATATCAACTGAAATTTTTTTAATTTTCTAAGAAAAAATATTGTCTGTTTCCTGTAACTTTGGGTATGAAATAAAAGTCGGTAATAAAAATATAGCTAAAAACACTTACAGATGTACAAGAAATCGCTCTGGTTGAACAAATCGCTCCATAATTTGCAAAATGCCCTAATTTATTTTTCAATTAAAATTAATTAAAAACATAGTGTATTGAGCGCAACATTTTCTCCATTAATTTTTTTCACATCGTTGTCAGCAATAAAATGTTAAGAACCTCGTTTGATGCTTCTTTTTTTTTTTTTATATATATAAAAAATGTATTTTGGAATAGTGATTTGATGGAAAATGTGTGGTTAAGAATAAGAAGAAGTTTTGAATTTGTATGTAATATTATTTTATTAAAAAATGTGCGGTTGAAAGAAGAGAGATACATGTATTTTGAAAAAAAAAAATAAAACAAAATCTAAAATTTAAATATAAAAATTATTTTGTTCAAACTGAATATATATAATTTTGTTGTATTAATTAAAAATATTTACCAAATGATATTGTGTTCAAGTTTTGTATAATACAAAGGAAGAGCATCGAATTTCTACACTTGCATTAAAATCAATAAAATGTAACATATATTAGTTTGGTAAATTTAGTTACAAATTCCATAAGTGCCACAATGGTCAAGAGAGCATTTTCCCACGAAGAGGTCATGAGTTCGAACTCTCTCTCTCTTATTCCATCTAATTTTGATAAAATTTGTAGAATTAAAAATGTTTGACAATAAAATTGTTGGGAGGGAGATTCGAAATGGGGACCTCTCACTTGAAAAAACAAGAAAAGGCCAACTGAGCTACAAGTTATTTATGTAGACAAGAGAACATACTAGGTATATAATATTAAACATTTCTTCATTGTCAACAAAAAAAAACTCTTCCCGGCGGATCCAGCACGCGCGGCCTCCTGAGCTCGCCGGGTACTGGGTCCGCCACTGCACGAATGTTGTATGAAAACAAAATGGAGATATGGACCTCTCTTTTTTGAATACACTGTGCAATGTGAACAGGTGACTTAAAGTCATGTTTAAGGGGTCTTTCGGGTTGAGGGTGTTGTGTATTTGTTTTTCGATACCTTCAACTGTGGTCTTGAATATGATATTTATGAGATTTTTGTTTAGTCTGAGATTTTTGTTATTTTTTTTTCCTTCTTTCACAAAATCGAAAAAAAAATACCTAAGGTTTGTTCTTTTGATGATACGCTTTATTTTCATTTTTTTTGTTCGATCTATGTAGATGCCGAGTTCAAGATACATAAAGTTATGTTCAGGGGGATGGTTAAGGTTTAGGGTGTTATGTATATGTTTTTCGATTTTTTCATCCGTGATGTTGAGTATGAAATTTGTTGTTGAATCTACGATTTCTGTTTAAAATTTTTCTGTATTTTGGTGTTGAGTTTTAGATCTTCCACTTTTTGTTCTATTTTTATGAGATCAAACAAAAAATACCAAAACTATGTTCATTTCATATTTTTGTTTTCTTTTTCGGTTTTAATTTTTTACTTTTATCTTTGATTCGAGTTGTGTGAAACTCTTATAGCATAATGGACCCCTTTTTTTTTCCTTAGGAGAAGGACTAGTTTGGCAGAGGTTAAAGAATGTAATAAGCCACTGATAGGAGAAGGACTAGTTTGGCAGAGGTTAAAGAATGTAATAAGCCACTGATGTTGTATAAATTGTGGAATGAGACAAAGAAATAGACATGGTTTAGTTTGATTATTATTACTTGATTCATTTTTTACTATTGGTCAGTTTTTGGCGTTACCCTTAGAGGATGAAGATTAAGGGGAGAAATGGTTTCCGAACTTGTAAATTAAGTTTTGTTGTGTTGTTTATGATGGATTCAATATGTTGTCAGGTTAATTTTATAGGTTACATAAATGTAGTTGAAGTGTGTTCTTTTGTAACGAAGAGTGTGCCATCCTCTTTTTTGTTGAAGAGTCCTTTTATGTGTCTTGTGTCATCCTCTTTTGTATTGAAGAGTAGGACAGATAAAGCCTGCAAGCTGCCTCGGCTATGACTGCTCAGTCATAGGTGCCTGCAACGAGGCTGCTTGTGCTTTTACTAAAGAAGATCTCCACGGCTTTTTGTGAAGCAGCTGTACGATCCAACAATGAATTGTATTAGACTTGGTTTG